AGAACAATCATCAAATGAAGCTATCCTTTCAAAAGGGCTGATGTTACAGTTTTGGATATAAACAAGACACTGTTTAACGTCACTGGTTAAAAAATCTATCCATACAATAATCAATTAAATAAAGTATGTAACGATTATGCAAAAAAAAAACTTCTCAAAACTGATAGCCATTTTCAAGTAGGTGTTAGGGACAAATGACGTTTCATCACCGATTTTACTTCACTTATAATTTAAATTTTTATTGCAACAACAATTTAAAACGTATCGTTCATCGGATAAACCTACTGATTTGTTCATAGCTGATCGACCACTAAATGGTGACATTTCAGTTTCTCAAGATGGTGTTTTATACCATAGAATGATAAAAAAATTAAAATATTTCTAGTGTTTAAAAGGGCTTCTCGCATACGATAGTGCGAGAAGACTGAAATGCAAATAATGCTGCAATGCTATACAGCATACTGATTAAATATTCAAGTCAAAGATCACAAATCACATGAACCTTAAATTACCCATTCTTCTCAATGGACTTCTTAAGTTGTGATATGTTCTGCGCTATGTAAAGAATTTTTTTTGTTTCTTGTGCTGCTGACAGTGGCATCAGAAGATACGCTTCCAAAAATTTGAGTAGTTTAGGAGTTACAATTTTGACTACTTCATAAGTACCTTCCCACATTTTGTCGTTACGCAAGAAAAATCGTTTGTCATTGACTAAGATTTGTCATATTCAGAAACAAAACTTTTTCAAGTTTGAGTAAAGTACACTAAGATCATTAATTTACTAATCTTATTTGCTTACAATGAGACTGACCTGGAATGAAGTTAAAAATTCGTGTTCAGCTATGCTAATTCAGCATTTCAAAAGAATAGATGCGTTATTTATGTTAATCAGCAACTTCCCTTATAACATCGATATAGGCAGAGTTATGCAAAAATTAAATCTTTTTGGGAATGCCTTCAACGAATATGAATATGCGACCCTGCTACCTCGAAAGATACGGAAATCTGCATATTTATATTGCATCGCAATATCACTAACGGGAGGAAAACAAAGCATAAAATCTTCATTTACAATCGCAATTTAAGAGAAACTGAAGTTTCGGATCAAACTCGGACGTCTTCAGAATAAAATGAGCAAAATGTTAGAAAAGTTTAACTCTGACGACAGATCGAGTTCGGTCCCAAAGTCAGTTCCTCAAATAATGACCCTAAGTCAATATTTTATGCATTGTTTTTGCGTTCTCAACACACTGCATCAATCGCATAAATAAACTTTTGCCTCTCAGTGCATAACGAGTGACTCTTTCATTTCTAGATTTCATGGCACATTCGACCACACCTTACACCTAGCTTTTTAGAGAGAATATTTGGGGTTCAACGATATTTGAGTTCCTGCAATGCCAGATGCATCTGTCCTCATTTTTTCTTTCGAGCCACCTCACGCTCATTACGAACGATATTTCTGGAGCTAATACTCCGTAAAAATAGCTGTATAAGCAACAAAGTGGATTCGTACGCCGGAATACAACAACTAAAGTATGCATCGCCATTTGCAAACATCGTTCCTAATGAGTACTAGATAATTTTAGAGAACAAAATATTACGGGATACATCTTACACTGGTCTCATTCAAAAACGATGGAGTGGGTCTGATTAATTAACCGTCTTAGGCAACCAGGGAAAATGGTGCAGTACACTGTGAAACCTGGCAATAGAGGAGTTATGGCTCATTCTACATGCACAAACTGAAAAACTATTTAAACTTTCAGGTTGAACATAATTAAATTCATATTAAAACCATTTTGCATTTATATATCTCTTGGTCAACATTCAATTGTTTTTTCTTGAACCAATCTCAGTAATGAACAATTTGTTTCTGTCACATAGTCGTCGCCTTACCGATACAGATCATAGTTTGATCGCGTTAATTAACAGAACAAAATTTGAAATTGCACAAAGGCAATAAAACCCTTAATATGCATAACGAGCTACTTTTCTGTACAGCCTGTGATCAAAATTAGTAACCCAAAGTAACACACTTACTTCGAGGGAGGACAGCGTGACAGAGCAAACGAATCAATAACGGGTTTCGTAGTCAGACACAGCTCCAAGCAGCAATAATTATTATTCAAATCTTAGCGCTGACATTGCAACGTGTACCAACTGATCGTTGATGAAACATACGGTATAAAATGACTACCTTACATGTGTGAATGCTAGGATATGTAGTTAACGCTATCTGACTTCGTGAAGTCTGTTTTGTGCACTCTTTATTTAGCCCAGTTTAATCTTTGAGTCACTATTTTACCTCCGCGACCCGAAAAGAGAAGCGAACAAGGAAGATGAAGATAAAAGTAATGATCTTTTGCCAGTTTATTAAAAATGCCCTATGATGGTCTTCAAGAATGATGCTGCATTTCAGATTACGGAGCTTGATTTTGTTTTACGGTTTCGCTCGAGAGGCTGAGCGCTGAAGCAAGGATTAAAGGCCTTGGTTTCGTTTGCTTTTTAAAACAACGAGGTAATTTACCACTCTTTTCTATCTTTTGCCTGCTTTACGATTCCGTTTCATTCTGTTTTGAAGATGTTCAACATCTGATGGTGTTTTCACTTGACATGCCGGATAGCGCTGTTGAATAGTGCTTCATAGTTTTGCATTTTGCCCTATTTTTGGTTATGACCTTTGTTTTCTCATGGTTTCATTCATATTACTCCTTCCAACTGGCTGAAATTATTGCTTTTTTGCCTTTGTTGTATGATATTGTGCACTGATACAATAAACTTATTGTTGGTTCGTATTTCTATGCTGAAAATAATACTTATTAATTACGTCATTCGTGCGGAACAGTAATACTGATGTTGAAATTCTAGTTCCTCCTTTGTTACTGTTCCTGTGCTGGTTGCTGATTGTTTCGGGTACGTTCGTATGGCTTGCAATCCTGTAATTTCGATGAACAATGTAATGGGTAATTTATTGTTAAAATTTTGGTAGTTTTGTTCGAGAACCAAATCGTAAGCCGATTGTGTGTAAAATGTTTAGCCATTGAGTTACCGCAGTTCGGTGATAATGTAGTTAACGAAAGTTACGATCGCACTATACATCGCAGTTGAAGTCATTAACAAAGAGCTGCTGTGACTCATCTGAAGAAATCAGCGAAATTCAAGCTGATTGATGAGTTTTTTTTGACTAACACATTTTCATTAGTTTCGATTCTTTGATCAGCCGAATAGTCTGTAATATACTATTCGTTTAACATGACAATCATTAAAAAGCTGCTGCTAAAATGTGTTCATTGCGCGCCGTTTAAAATGTACAGCGGTGTAGATCCACCTGTTTATTGATTAATAATAATGATGGTATAAGGTACATGCGGGAGATGATAATAGTAGTAATAATAACAGCAAGCAACGAACGAACATGTAAAGCCGTGGATTTCCGATGTACATCATGCAGTTATTCAAAGAACGGTAGGGAACACAGTTAATGTGTTTTAACTTCAAATTCACTTGAACAAGGACTTTACCTTACGTTGATTCGG